CATGGTGGGAAACAGGAAGTTAGGAATAATACATTTGATGATAAAGAACACGAAGAGACCGTGCATGGACACTGCAGAGAATCTTCATGCTCACTGATTAAACAATAAACAAATGCATGAAGTGCCTCTATTAATCTTTATCAGTAATCCACCGTATCTTACTTGGGCCCCTGAAGTTCTAAAATGCATCTTTTAATACAATTGCTTTTATAGATAGGCACCCCACAAAACATGCTTGCCCGGGAATCTACATACCCTTAGGGGTATATCTGACTCAACCCTTCACTGTATTGTCTCTCATGAAGCCAAAAAAATAATTTGACTTCAATGTTAATTTTTTAACTCACAAGTTCCTTTTCCTTCTACATTTTAAGTAATTTACATTGTATTTCACGAATCCTATCTTCTTCCATACTTTTTTGCTCCTTCATTTTCTCTCCTCCTTCTCTACCCGGTCCCTTTCAAATCCAAAGCAAAGGTGTGTTGTGTGTGTGTGTGTGTGTGTGTGTGTGTGTGTGCGCGCGTGTGTGAGAAAGTGGGGGGGGGGGCGGGGGGAAGAGAGAGAGAGAGGAGGGAGGAGGAAGAAGAGAAGGAAAAGTCAAAGAGAAGATTGAAATGACCAAAACGGTATTGCTAGGTGGGAGAAAAGGAACATGTACAAATGCTATTTCTTGTTTGCCCATCTCATACTTCATCCTTACATGTAAGGTAATGTTGAAAGAGTAGCCCACTTAAAAGTAGTGTTGTCCCTGCTTTGCTGTTGCCCAGAACGAAGGCCCCCATCTGTTATGTGGTTCAATAACATTAGCCTCTAAGCTGTTAGGAGAGTAAACAACTCCACCAACAGACACGACTCTTTTGGCCATGACACCTTGGGTCAGAGATGTTAACTGCTAACTTTGAAGTCTGGCTCCATGTAAGCAGCTCTAATATATGCACGATCTTGAGGAGACTCTTATACCTGGAAGGTATGATGGAGATAATTTTCCTCAACTCCTTAATTGTACAGATGGGAAGCTGAGACCAAGAGAGGATGTGGCTTGTCCAAACACATATGGCAAATCGATTGTAAAGAAGGGTTATAAACTGGCCTTATAATCCCTTGGTCCAGCGCTTTTAGAACCGAACCATGTTACCATTCCATTGAATTCATTCATTCATTCATTCATTCATTCATTCATTTATTCATGGAATATATATTTTCTGAGCATCTATTCAGTATCAGGCACTGACCTATGTGCTAGAATAAAATACAGATACCTGTCCTTATAGAACTCATGTGCATGTGTGTGTGTATGCGTGTGTGTGTGAGAGAGGAGAGGATAATATTAATAAGCAATTCTAGTGCAATCTTAATGTGCCATGAGGAAAATAAAATTAGGTAAAGAGGATAGGGCGTACCGAGAAGAGTACTAATAATTTTAAGCAGGGTACTCAGGGTAACCTGAGAAAGCTACATTTGAGGAAAAGACTTGATAGGAGGTGAGGGCATGAGCCTCCTAAGTATGGGAGGAAAAGCATGCCAGGCAGAGGGAAAGCACGTGCAAAGACTTTAGGAAGAGAACCTGTACTACACGTTTGAGGAATGGTAAGGAGGCTAGTATGGCTGGAACAGAGAGTAGATGTCAGAGCAGTAGGAGATAGGATCAGAGAAGGAATAAGACGTGCAGCTAAGGGTTGGGGAGCCAGATGGGACTTTAATTTGAGGAGGGTGTTGTCAGTTATGAGTAGAGTGACATGACCTGATTTATACTGTAACAGGCTCACCTTTACTGCCATGTGGAGTCAGAGTAGATTGTAGGAAATGAGGGTGGGAGCAGGGAGGCCAGTCAGGCAAGCTGTGATGCTGAGAGGCACCACCCTTCAGGGGAACTCTTCAGCGTGTACAAAACTAGAATTTCATATGGCTATTTGTATTTGTGATTTATGATGAGTTTTGAGACACCTGGGTAAATGAAACAGTAGCCACATGAACTAAGAATTCTCAATTCTGTGTATCTGAGAGTAGTGAGATTGCCTAGGGAAATCATAGGCACAGCTAAGTTAAAAATAAACTGCCAAACAATTTTGAAAGACTGGTAATATTAGGAAATAGCAAGTAGGAGTTTGCATTACTTGCAAAGAAACTTAGATGAATACAAATAAGTAAGACAAGTATCTCAGGGACATTTTTCTTTAGCAATGAAGATGAACAGAGAATGGCAACAGAGAACAGAAGTGCTTCAGAAGACATCATATACACTTAAAATTATAAACAACACTAATATCCTATTTTTGGATTTGCAATGTGTTTTATATCATTATTTCATATTCTCTGAATCATCTCATAAGCTTATAAATAGCTAAAGCTGGGCTTCTCACCTCTGACTCCAAATCCCATAATGTTCTCACTATACCATTTTCCTAACTACCCTGTCCTTTAACATCTTTATAAAGTAAAAACAAAACACTAAAAGAAAGCCAATTTGCCTCAAAACAGTTCTCCCCTCTCAGGGAGTTGACGGCATTCCCATGTCTGTGAAGGGTCTGTGTCATTGTCAAAATGAAATTAGAGAGCAACCCAAAAATTCTTAATGATGTCCATGTAGGTGTGACAAAGATTTAGGGGTGTGTGTTCTCTTGATTATATTAGCACTGGAACCCTCTTAGGGAGTTATCTCCAGTATTTAGAAACTAAACCAAATCACTATATGAGCATTTGGAAATATAAAGGCTTTATAGTGAAGATGTAACAGGTTTGAAAAGGGTATTTTACCAAAAATTCTGTTAATAAAATAGTGAAATAAATATAAAGGAGCACTTCATTTATTAAAACTTGCAACCGACATTAATCTTTTTCTAATATAAACCTTAAGTTGGTTGTTTTGCTGTATCTTATCTATCTTGATAGGTTGTTTTTACTATCAGTTAGGAAAAGTTTTAAAGTTTTACTTGACTTTTTTTGCTCTGATCCATTATTTAAAGGTGTTACCAACTTCTGTGCCAAACTCATTCTGTCTTCACTATCTGTCATTTTGGTTAGTAGAACTTCATCTTTCCTGTTGTTCTGGCCAAAAACCATTTTTTACTTCTTTTTCTTACAACCCACATCAAATCTTGATCTTACATGATCTGCAAATTCCTTCTCATCCTCCCAGTTTGCTGGGCATCAGCCACATTGGCTTCCAAAATACCAAGTGGGCTCTTACCTTAGAACCTTTGCACTGATTGATCTTTCTGTCCAGCTCTTCCCCCGACAATTCATTGCTTTCTGTGAACTCAGCATATCCAGAAAAATAAGCACTTTATATTTGCAAATTACATCATGTATTTTATTTGATTCTCACCATCGTCAGTAGAGTTTCCAATTTTATCCTTAAAGTTTAAAACACTGCTCAAAATGAACCTTTTAAAAAAATGTTTATTTATTTTGAGAGTGTGCACTCGTGGGGGGAGGGGCGGGGGGGGCTGGGAGAGAGAGAGAGAGAGGGAAAGAGAGAGGGAGAATGAGAGGGAAGAGAGAATCCCAAGCAGCGTCTGTGCTGTCAGACCATGACCTCATGAACCATGAGACCGTGACCTGGGCCGAAATCAAGAGTCAGATAGATGCTTAACTCACTGAGCCACCCAGGCGCCCCAACCCCAAACTAACCCTTAAGAGGCAGAATCAGTACTAGAGTGTACCTGATTATGCTTGTTTTAAGCATTCCTCTGCTCTAAGTAATACTTCCCAATAGAAGATCAAGATGCTTTCTGGTCCATAGTACATCATCATTTTAAGAAGAGAAAACCTTCAACGGGTGCCTGGGTGGCTCAGATGGTTAAACAAGAGATAAACTTCAGAGGCTTTATCATTGGGGAACTTATTTAAAAACTGTTTCCCCCACTACACAGGTGAAATCAGCTTTAATGAAAATGGAGGAAAATACAAGAGTATGAAAAATCTTTTTACCATGTTGGAGTATTATCTTACATCCCCCCGTTCCTTTTTGATTTAACATATTCATGTTCCTTTATTACAAACAGAAATATAAATAGTTCATTAATATTCTTCTCCAAAAAGTACCATGTTTATTTAGCCATTTGCTTAGCTTCTACTATTATGGTACTCTGAAATTTTTCTTTAACTACTGTGATTAAACTTTAAGATGGCAGATGCATATATTTCAACTATGACTTCCTCAGTTTTATTCCCCTAAATCAAAGGTTCTGCACATTTTCCGGAGTATTGATACTTATTTTTACATTGCTTATCAAAACTGTTATATAATCTACACTCCCTTCATCAACTGGCAGAAATAAATCACAGACATTTCAAAACTATGTTATGTCCAGCCGCGTTCATTTTACAAATTCAAAAGTGAAGCCCAGAGATTTGAATCTAGAACCCAGCTCTCTGGACTTCCAGTCAATTTCTCCCCCTGGATTCACTGCAACTGGCTATTCAGCAGCGAGGCCGACCCCTCCGGATTCTCTGCCCACTGCAGTCTACCCTCGTCTCGGGCTGTCGCCCAACTCCCGTGGGATGCCAAGGAACTGGGAGGTTCGAAGATGGCACAAATCACCAGGACCTCACTATTAGCTAACACAGGGAGTACACCTGTCTGCCCCTCCGCGGCCACAGGGTCGCAAACCAGAAACCGGAAATGGCGAAGTTCGTGGACGCGCCCAGCCGGCAGCCACCTCCTCCCGCTTGCAGCGACTTCGTCCCGCCTCGACACGCGTGGCCAGCTTTCAGTCTAGACTCATCGAGCGAGGATGTCGCGTTGAGTGGCTTCTCAGGCTCAGGCCCTGAAAAGCCCAGGAACGGGCCCCTACGTGTCCGTAGCGAATGCCAGGGCGGGTGCCTTCACCATCCCAGCAAATCCCAAGCGGCCGTGGGACGGGCGGCTACTTATCGCTCCGCTCAGGCCTAACGAGTCGAACGCGGAACTAGCGAGCAGGCGGAAGCCTCGTTCGGGGCTGTTGCTCAGCAGGCCGGGCCTGGCTTTGGGCCCCGGGCCTCCCAGCCTGGGACTCTGCGCCTGCGCCCGTGCGGCCGCGGCCTGCTCTCCCGGCGCGGCCGCGGTCCCTGCTGCAGCGCGCCGCCTGGGTGGCTGGGCGGTCCATGGGCAGCAGCGAGGGCCACGATGACAGATTACGGCGAGGAGCAGCGCAATGAGCTGGAGGCTCTGGAGTCCATCTACCCCGACTCCTTTACAGGTGACTTCCGCGGCTGCGGGCCGGGAGCGGCCCGGGGGTGGAGTGGGATGGGCCGGAGCCCTCGGCCTCCCGGGCCGGGGATGGAGAAGGAGACAGCGAGGCCGCGTGGCCACTTCGCCCGCTACTCTTCATCTTCTTCTCCCGACGTGTTCAGGCACTTAGGGGTAACTGCACAGCTTTTCCCTTTCTCCGCTTACTCCCTGAAATCTGAAAGTCCAGAAGAGGCTGGCGAGGTCCCTGGAGAGTGTCAGGCCTGGAATTGAGTCGAGTGCACTTTGGTTTCTGTGTAACTTAAGCAACCCGAGATTTAGTGAGAAACACGAAAACAGATACTGCCAAGTGGGCGTAGTTTTTCCAGAGCCGCATTGGTGTCAGTTTTCACATTTTCACCTTTACTCGGGTAGAAGCTGTTTTTCATACGATGGTGTTTTAAAGTTTATGGGATTCAGAGTGCTGTTCTCAAAGTTACCCAGAATCAGTTTTGAGAGTAGTATTGTCCCTGGAGTTTCTCGTTTTCTTTATATTCTGGTATTCTGCAAATGCCCAGTGAATGATGTGGCACAAATTTTAGCTCCACTGTAGATTCACAGGTTTTTAGGAAGGAATATTAGACATCTAGCCTAGATGTCTCTTGCTACAAGCAAGGCATCTAGGAGGCGCAGGAAAAGTGGCTTGCTTTGCGTCTGGCTAGCAAGTTAGCGGCAGAGCTGGTACTAAGAGTTAGGTCTGAACCCCCTTTTCTGTTCCTTCACGTTGCAGACATGTGGAACTTGGGATCTAGCTCCAGCTGAGATAAGGGGGAGCAGAAGATTACTTGGTAGGTTGGGCTAATGTGACATACTGAGAGGCTCATTAGGTGCATTTTACAGGGAGAGAATTTTTCTGCATTAAGCCTTGCTTCAGATGATTTTGAAAGTGCAGCAAGACGACCATATCAATACAGCTTTCTCCCTTTACACTTAGTGTTTGAGAAGTGATCAAGTAAAATTAATATGTGTGACCTAGGTTTGTGGGATTTACATTCCCCGTCCCTTCCTTTGACTGTTGTCCATCACTGATGGTCAGAATTCAGAATGTAAGGGATGTTTAACTCCAATCCCTCTCCCTTTCTTGTTTAGCTTAGTTTTTTTTTTTTTTAGCTCCACCTACTGCTTGCAACGGTAGCAAATTTTGTTCTGCTTTGCCAACAGGCAGATGTCTCTCAACTACCCCTGTATAGCTCCAGTCCTGTTCATGTTCTCTCTCTCCAGCAGTACAGCTGTGCTGTGAGGATGTTAAGGGGATGAGTGAAGAGGGGTTTGAGAGTGTCATTAACTGGGTGAGTGTGTATGGAGTCTGGCTCCCTTCTCTATCCTTGCTTATATGTCAATGTCTAAATAAAATAGAATGTAGGGTCAGTTGTCAGATATATTCTTAATTGTGACATTTGGTCATTTCTAGTACATTTGGAAATGTGATAGGCACTGTGTAGGCAGAGTTAAGAAAGCATAAAGGTGTGCTATTCTTCTATGGACATAAGGTATCCCTTATTAAATACTGTGCATAGAAGCATTTTAAAAAGTGATCCATTTTTAATCCTAAACCAATCTTACGGTTCTTTCAAATTGTACTAAGCTCTGATGTAGTTCAGTGTGTGACATTCTTGTCAGATGCAAAAGCGTTTGAGGAATCTGAGCCAGGGTAATGAAAGACAGTTTACGAATCTTTGATGCCTTTAAGTATTCTGCAGCATCAGCTGAGCCCATCTGTCTCTAATTCCTACCAGCATTCCTATATTGCAATAAGTAAATTAAAATAAGATGTTTTGATTTGTAGTTCTTCAGAAACTTTACCTTATTCATGATTGTGTTGTTTATGAAACCTCTCAGGGAAAAGGCAGAGGAATTTGGAATACAATGCTTTCATGTTTGATCTTTTGAAATCATGAGGATTTGCAAGGTTCACTGTTTTATAACCTTTTGTGTTGATGATTTCATATTTTCCTACCAGGTTTAAGAAAGAGCTGGCTTGTGTCAGTTTGCCAAGGAACACTAATTGGCAGCTTTCTAATTTCATTTTGAATCACATTTAATACTAGATTTGGTAAATGCTCAATGCTGTTGATTAAGGAGGTAGATATGCTTCCCCCCCCCCCCCCCCCCCCACTAGATAGCTTAGTGCTTGACAGAGAAGCCCTTGTTAAGCATGTCATGACCCCCTTGTGGATGCTTAAGAGGCACAATCTCAGCCAGCCCACAATCCTAGCCACATAGACCTAGCCTGGCCCCAGAATTTATTTGCTTGAATATTTGCAAAGAACTTTTGGTCCAGTGTTGCATTTGTTGTGAATTATAACAAATCATAATACAGTTTCTTCTTTTTGCCTGTTCTGTAGCGTGATTGCACATTGATCCAATCCTCCTAACAACTAGTCTTCCAAAATATAAATGGACTCTTCTGATACCACATTCTCCTTCAGTAGTGCTTCACTTGACAAGGCCCTGCTAAGGTAGTAGAATTTGGTTATTTCCATTTCTGTATCAAAATCTGACTATGGGGAATTTTGTTGAAACACATTGGTTGGCTTCAGGCTAACCAAAAGTCAAGTTCCCTTGAATCTGTTTGGTCTTCAAAAAGGGGTACATAATTCTGTATTTGCTTGTGTCAGTACCTCTAAGTAGTATCCATGAACACATAACAGTTATAATTGCATCTTAGAGATGGGGCAGTCGTCTCTAAAAGTCATCTTTTAAGAGTAGTTTTTCTAAGACAGACGCTCCCTAAGAACCAAAGGGACTTATTTTAATATGGGCTGTCTGGTTCTTTGTGAAAACCTTGATGTCATTTGTGTATCCCTTTACTGTACCTTTCAGCTACCATCTCCATTATTTCTGTCCTTAATTCTTTCCAGTTTACCATCATCTGCCCCACTGTCACTTAACATTTGTACTGCTCCTCCACTGGTTCCTTCTGCTATGTGCAACAATCTTACTCTTTTTCTCAAAAATATTTTGATCCACTTACAGTAGTGGAAGTTGGTATTCTAGTGAAGGCTAATTTATATCCCAACTTACAGGAATGCACTGAAGTGGAATTATTCCTTCATGAGATCCTAGGTGCTGATGAATCATTCATCTTTGCAATCCAATTAAGTAACTTTCCCATCCCTTCATTAGTCTCCAGACTTGGGAATATCCATCCATCCTTCCTTCCTTCCTTCCTTCCTTCCTTCCTTCCTTCCTCCCTTCCTCCCTTCCTCCCTTCCTCCCTTTCTCCCTTTCTCCCTTTCTCCCTCCCTCCTTCCTTCCTTCCTTCCTTCCTTCCTTCCTTCCATCCTTTGGATTAGGTTCAGCTGTGACAGAAAACCTCAAACAACAGTGGTTTTAAAAAGGTGAAAGTTTTATTGCTCTTGCACATAAAAGATAGTTGTATAGCTC